CCTATGAGGGTGCTTTTGTATGTAACTTGCTGCCTCTCCCTTGCTGCTTTTAGGATTCTGAATTTGTCTTTAACCCTGCCATTTTCACTATAATGTGTCTTGGTGTGGGTCTGTTTGGGATCATCTTGTTTGGAACTCTCTGCACTTCCTGTGCTTGTATGTCAATTTCCTTTGCCAGTTTAGGGAAGTTTTCAGACATTATTACTTCAAATATGTTCTCGATCCCTTGCTTCCTGTCTTCTCCTTCTGGTATTCCTATGATGCACATGTTGTTGCATTTGATGTTGTCGCCTAGCTCTCTTAAACTATTTTCAATGTTTTTTATTCTTTTTTCTTTTTGTTGTTCTGCTTGGATGATCTCTGCTATGTTGTCTTCTAAGTCACTGATTCGATCCTCTGCTTCATCTAATCTACTAGTAATTCCATCAAGTTTGTTATTTAATTCAGTAATTGAATTCTTTATTTCTACCTGGTTGTTTTTTCATGATTTCTCTATCCTTCTTTTCATTCTCATTAATTTCCTTGAGCATTCTAATAATCAGTGTTCTGAACTCTGTCTCCGATAGGTTGTTTACCTCTATTTCCTCTAATTCCACAGAGTCAGGAGGTTCCTTCTGTTCTTTTATTTGGGATGTGTTTCTTTGTTTCCCCATTCTGGCTTATTCTTTGTGTTTACCTCGATGAAATAGGTAGATCCCCTAGGTCTCTCAGTCTTTTCTGGGTAGACTTATGTGGTATATGTCCTTTATATTTGAATTGCTCAGACTCCCTTTTCTCTCGTGTGTGTATACCAGAGGTGTTCCTTGTGTTATGTGCCTTCTCCTGTTGAGGTCTAGTTTTGATTGCTTTCTGCTTGTCAGTAGGTGGGCTTGACTCCCAAGCTGACTAGCCATGAGGATTAGTTGTGTCCAAAGTTTATAAGCTGTTGTGTGAGGGTTGGCCCCTCTGATGAGGCTTGGCCCCTAGGGGCTCTTGTGCCTGTAGCAATTTCCCTTTGGGTGTGAATCTTGTAGGTCAGACCCTCTAATGCTCTGGTTTTATCTAAAGTTGGTCTCTGGGTGTGATGATTCTTGTGCTTCTTTGGCTGGGCCCCGCTGCAGAGTGTGCTTTAGGGTAAAACAGATCAACAAGCACAACCACAACAGCCACCAAAGGTAACCATATACTCTCTGATGTACAAAACAACCATCACCCTACACTCAACATGTACAGAAATATCAATCATACACAAGGAGAAAACAAATCAACAGAAACAAAACAACAATGAGAAAAGAAAAAAAAAGAAAAGGAACAAATAGCAGAACAAAATAAAATAAGATATAATAAACTAAAAAATAGAATGAACGTGAGAAACAAAATAGCAACACCCTTAAAACAACAACAACAACAGCAAGAAAAAAAAACTTGCAGAAAAAATGGAAAGGAGGCAAATCAAGCTGTGACAAGGAAGCAGGAAAGAAGGGAGAGAGAGAGGTTAGAAGAGAAGGAAAGAAAGAAAAAAGAGAAGTAAATATATATATATATATACACATATATATCTACACCCCCATATATATGGACATATGTATCCACATATATGCACCTTTATATATGCCTATATAAAAAACTGAAAATACTAATGAAATAGAAGAATCCAAAAACAACCAACACAAGCAATCAATGAGAAAAAAGCAACCCAAAACATCCAAGAGAACCCAATTAACAATAACAATATAACACACCAAAAGAGAAACCAAAACCGGAAACAAACAATCAAAAAAAGTATAAAAAAAGAAAAGTGAGAAAAAACAAGAAACAACCAGTGCCAATCTTGGCTGAAGTCCGCCAAGCTCTCCCCAGGTTTCCCTCTGCTATACACACACTCCTCTGTGTCTTGTCCGGGCAGACCCAGCCGCCTGACACCTAGAGTGAGCCTGGTAATGCAGGTCTATTTTAGATGAGTGGAGTTATGAGGTGTGATTGGTAGTTTTTTTACAAAGTCAGTGTTATTTCTGCTCCTGCCTATCCATAGGCACTCTGATTTCTGCACAGCCAGAGGACTGGATGTGCGTCTTTGGGTGCTGTTTTCACTGGGGCTGTTGGAGGGTAGGTGGTGGGGATTTCAGAGCTGCTGGTAGGCCTTCCTGTGTCTCAGCAGCCAAAGCTGTTCCGCTTCCCAACTGCCCAGGAGAGGTGGGGGCGGGGACAGCGAGTTTAGTAGCCCACTCCCACAGCCTCTTCTCATGCAAATTTCTCAACCCCCAGGGAGTTGAAGCACCTTTGTTCTGACTTACTCCTCTCTTGAGGGGTCAGCCTCAGGCTCTGTCAGGGAGAGGGCCTAGGTTTCTGAGGGAGGGTGGGGGTGTGCACTTATCTATGCAGTTTATTTTTCCTGTCTGAGAAAAAAGAGGAAAAAAGAAGAAAAAGGAAAAAAAAAAGGAAAAAGAAATAAACCTCCTCCAACGCTCCCGCAGAGCTCCTGCTGCTCTCCAGGAGCGCCCCCTGGCAAGGCAGCTCGTGTCTCCACAGCTGTGGGGTGCAGGCTGTGTCTCCACGCTTCTCACTTCCCTCTTCTCCTGCTCGCTGGTTTGAGGTTTCTACCTCAGAAACTGCGCACCCTGGGGCTCCTGTTGTACTCCTGGCAGGACTGTCGGCCCAGAGGCTGAGCCCTGCCCTGGTGCTGCAAGACACTCTACCTTGTGCTGGATTCCCACAGTTCCGCAGCTGCGGGCGGACTGTGCCTCTGCTCACATACTCCTCTCTGCATTCCGCTTCACGCCCAACCTGAGAATTCTGCCTTAGCGCGGGCTGGAGGTGCAGGGAGCGAGCCATGGAACACTCTCTGATCTGCTCTCGGAGACCCCGAGCCTCAGCAGCCGCGGGTGCGGGCTGCGCCTCCACGCGGTTTGCCTCCCTCTTCCCCCACTTGCCGGGTCTGCCCACCTTTAAGTACTCGTTGTGGGAGTCCCTTCGCTGCTCAGCGTGCTCAGTAGAGGTTTGTTTGCTGCACTCCAACTGTTCAAATTGCTGTGCTTTCCAGGGGAGAACTCGGGGAGTCCTCCTCACCGCAGCCATTTTTTCTGCCTCTGCAAGTTTCATATATACAGTAGTTCTTTTTCTTCACATGTTTCTTATCTCCATTCCCTCTTGCAGATTCAGACCTTTACTCTCTCCTCTTTTATGTTTTTGTTGTCATTAGTTATCCCTACTTATGCTGTGAATTGATTTGAGTTGCAGTAACAAGTTGTCTTTTTCTTCTCGTTTTCCTTTTTTTTTAATGTTTTTATCTTTTTTACCTTTTATGTTATTTTTAAGTGTATAGTGCCCTATTTTGTGTAGGGCTTGCCATTTCCTGCCTCTGTCTATTTGTAATGTTGCTCATAGTTTTGTATTCTTTTGGTTTTGTTTCAGGTTGAATAGCCTCCTTCAGTATTTCCTGTAACGCAGGTCATGTGTTAGAAATTCCCTAAGTTTCTGTATGTCTGGAAAGGTCTTTATTCCTCCTTTATATCTAAAGGGTATCTCTACTGGATATATTATTCTTGGCTCATAATCTCTGTCTTTCAATAGTTTGAATATTTGATTCCACTCTTTCCGGGCTTTGTAGAGTTTCTGCTGAAAAGTCTGATGATAATCTAATGGGCTTTCCCTTATAGATTACTGCTTTTTTTCTCCCTGGCTATTTTGAGAATTCTTTTTTTATCATTAATTTTTGACAACTTCAATACAATGTGCCTTGGAGAAGGCCTGTTAGGATTGAGGTAATTAGGTGTTATGTTTACTTCTGGGATTCAAGGATCCAGTTCTTTCCACAAGTTTGGGAAGTTCACATGGACTATTTGTTTGAATATACTCTCTGTTCCCTTTTCCTCCTCTTCTCCTTCTGGTATGCCCATTATTCTTATGTTGCTCTTTCTAATGGAGTCAGAAAGTTCTTGTAGAGTTCTTTCGTTTCTTTTAATGCTCAAGTCTCTCTCTTCTTCCATCTTCTATATCACTAATTCTTTCCTCCATCTGATTAGCTCTATTATCTAAGATGGCTATTTCATTCTTCATTTCTTTTATTGAGTTCTTCATCTCCAAAATTTCTTTTTTTAAAAAATTTTCAGTCTTTTTGGTAAAATATTCATGTTTTTTATTGATTTTGTTTCTGAGTTCATTAAACTGCCTGTCTGTGTTTTCTTGCATCTCACTGAGTATTTTCATAACTGCAATCTTGAATTCTCTGTCATTTAAATCACATATTTCCATGTCTCTAAGTTCATTTTTTGGAGAGTTTTCATTTTCTTTCTCAGCTGCCTTGTTTCCTTGGTTATTCGTGGCAATTAATGAGTTGTTCTTTCTCTTCTTGGACATCTACAGGAGTAGCTTCTTCTGCAGCAGGTTGATATGAAGAGGTCTTTCTTTTGCTTTCAAATAGTTGTTGCTGGAATATTTTGTTCTCTCTCCCACTGCAGCCTTTTATTTTCTCTTTCGCTGTACTGTTTTATTTTCTCTTGCGATGTTCCAGCTTCTCATGCGATGGAAGGTAGGCTTCTCTGTGAGCAGGTCGCCTGGGTCTCAGGGCACCGCCTCTGTGGGAGGATGTGCAGGGCAATAGAGGTCTGAGCTTCTGTAATCCCAATGCTGCCTGCAGCCCAGTGCAGAGCCTGGGTATCTCAGTGGCTGTGGTTGCCCCCGCAGGGATCTGCCAGAAAGGTGCATCAGGGTGGACCCTGGATGGACTCTTTGTGGCTCCGAGCAATGACTACTACCAGCCCATAGCTGTGTCTCCCCTACAGCTTTTTCCTTATTGCCACAATTAGTCGTGTTGTGCATTTGGGGCTGGTGGACCATCTCTCCAGTTCTCAGGGCTGTAGATACTCTATTCTTTAATCTCACACTGCTACTGTTTCTTCTGGACCCTGCTTCTAACACTGAGGGGTGGGGGGTGGGGTGGCAGGTCGGCGGGTGGAGGGGGAGGAAGCAGCCATGCTCCATGTCTTTGTTTTCTGTTTTCTCCTTGACAGTGAGGGCTTAAACTGCAGTTCTCACGTGAGATCTCGGCCCCAAACGCTCAGTTCAGCTCTGTTACATGCTGATCCCTCAGGAAGGACTGTGGGCCACAGGGAGTGTGCCTGCAGCCTGGATCCTTCCCTCTCCCAAGACTTCAGTGAGCTCCAGACTGCATCTTTTGGCCTACACTTCCCCCTTCCCTTCTCCCCTGCTTGCCAGATTTGCCCACCTTCAGGTGATTCGATGCACGGATCTCTCAGGCATGCTTGTGTGTTGCTTAAGTTATCCTTTGTCGAATTATAGCTGTTCAATTTGTTGTAACTTCCAAGGGAGATTTCAAGAAGCACTCCTCAGGTCTCCATTTCTGTGATGTTCATAGTGGACTCTTGTGATGCACCACACCAGATCCCTCAGCCTGCCCAATTTCAATGCAGCTGTGGTGGTCATGCATCATTGCTAACATCCCTCACATTTGAACATGCCACAAACATCTCTTTGGTTTGCCGCCTCAGACTTTCTCCAGAGCAGCAGAAGACTTCCTGTCCATGGGCTGGTGCAAATCAGAAGTGCTTGGGTATTCACACTACTTGTGAATAAATCACTTGTGCTTCCCAGGGTCACCTTTGTAAGCAACCACCTGTTCTAAGGCTCTGCTGTCAGGAGATCCCAAACTAAGATACTTAGTTTCTCTTATTTAATGTCATAATGACATATGAGGTAAGAGGTATTAGTCTCATTTTAAAGGCAAAGAAAGTAAAGTTTAATGAGATTAAAGTGTCTGGCTCAAGTTTACTAAGCAAATAAATGCTAAATTCAGGATTTAAATGCAAGCTTATATGAGCTCCAAATCATGTTCTCATTCCAGGAAACCACGCTGGGTGACCTTTTAAAAGCTACCTGATTGCGCTCGGTTTTAGTGTTCTCATTGGCAGGACCTATGCAGGCTTGCAGATTCAAGTGCCAACAAGGCAGTCAGGAAGTAAAGGAAGGCAGCTGGGTCTGCCTGGGCTGTGGCCAGTTGGAGGCCTGTGCCCTGTCCAAAGTCAGCAGCTGCCCCTCTGCCTCAGGCAGCTGAGCCTGTGCAGAAAAGCAGGCCCAGCACTGCTGCTTCTGCCACTTGCACAGAAAGCTAGACTCATGTGAAATCTCCCATGTTTTAAAGGGTGGCGACTAATTCAAATGTGTTTTATACCCTATTCAGACTGGAAAGGGGTACAAGGGAACTTGTAGGAGTAATGGAAATGTTGTGTATAATGATTGGGATGTATACACTGGCCAAAGCTCAAATTATGTTTAAAATAGGTGTATTTTATTAATGTTATAGCTCAATATGGTTAATTTTAAAAGAAAAAGGGAAAAAAGACCTCATGTGCAGCAATCAAAATAAGTTCTTTTGAGATTCTAGAATATTCTGTGTTTAATTACGTATAAAAAGAAGGTGGGAACAAAAATGGATCTTATTCTAGTACATAACTGAGGTTCAGTAAATAAAATCTGTCGCAAAGTTTGGCAAAGAAAAACAGCACCTCTTAGGACACATGAGCCACATCAGCATTCTGTTTCTTAGCCTCAGAATTATCCATGTGGATGAGTTTCTCTTCTTCTTTAGGATACTGGAGAAAACAATTGGATCACATATCTGCTCACCTCAGGTCTTATGCTCAGAACAATCCTGAATTCCGGGCCTTGATTTCTGAACCCAGGATGGGAAAGGTGGGTGGACTCTGAATGGAACTTCCACTCCACAGCGTCCCATGGGATCAGGCTGAAGTTACCCTTGACGGACTTCACCTGAAATTATACTTTGCTTGGTTTCTTTCCCTTTCCTGCCCTGCTTTCCACACTTCCTTACTGTTCTCCCCTGCAGGCACTGCCTTAATAAATCACTTGCACATGAGTGTTGTCTCACAGTCTGCTCCTGGGCACCTGACCTAAGACAGTAAACTGTGAACATCTCATGCTTTTAGATGCCACATGCTGTGGAGATTCTGATGGTCAGAGCTAAAATACCCAGAATAGTTTAGTCAAATTACATACTTAAAGCCTATGCTATATTAACAACAATAGTAGTCATAAGATTTAATCATTAAACAGTACACTCAGTGTCTGCATTGTGTTCATCATCTCTAGTCCTCAAAACAAACCCGCAGGGTAGGAGTATTACCATTGTGGCATTTTTAAAACATGGCCACAGATTCTTCGACAATCTTCCTTTCAAAGGAGGGAGTCTAGGCCCCTCACCTTGAATCTGGGTGGGCTTTTGACTGTTGGACTAAGAGAGTATGTCGGAAATGATGCCATGGGACTCCCAAGGGATGCTCTTTAGGTCATTGCTTCCCCTCGCTTGGCATGCTCACCTCCAACACTCCTTCTTGGAGCCCAGCCATCCAGCTATGAGAAGCCCAAGCCACATGGAGTGGCCACATGTAGGTGCACCCGCCTGCAACTCCAGATGAACCCAGTCCTTGAGTCAGCCCGACTCAGGAGCCAGGCAGATGAGTGACGAAACTGTAGGTCATTCCAGTCCCCAAACATAAAGCCATCTCTAGCCATTTGAGTCTTTCCAGCTAAGGCCTCAGACATGTGAAACAAAGACAAGCCACCCCTGCTGGGCCCCATCAGAATTCATGAACGTGATAAAATTGGGTTGTTTAATGAGACTGAGTTTGGAATTTTTTGGCACTACAGTAGATAATCAGAACAAACCTTATTTGACACCCAAGAAAACTGGCTCAGAGAGGTTTGGTGACTTGCCTAGTACCACACTGCTGGGTCTCAAAAGATTCTGGATTTGGAGCAGGTCTGTCAGATCCCAGGCCCCAGGCCCTTTCTCTGCCATTATAAAGAGGCACCTCTGTGAGGGGACCTGTTCCTCTGTTTGTCATGAGACTAGAAGGAACCTTTAAAAATCAGCATGTCTGCTCCTCTGCCATTAAATAGGCCAACATTGTCAAGTATTGCTCAATTTCCTTTGATAATCTATTTTGGTGGCTTATTTATTTATTTTTTTTACTTAATCCAGAAGTCTGCAAACTATGGTCTATGGGGCAAATCTGGTCCACCACCCAGTTTTGTAAATAAAGTTTGATTGTATCACAGCTATACTCATTCATTTACATTTTCTGTAGCTGCTTTTGTGCTACAATGGCAATGTTGAGTATTTATGACAGAGACCCTATGGCCCACAAAAGCTAAAACATTTACTATATGGTCGTTAAAGCATTTGGTGATCCCTGATTTGATCTGAGTCCCTCCCACTGCTTATAGAGAAAGCTGCTCAACTGTGATAGTTGGCCCTTGATTGCCAAGGCCTGACCCCAGGCCACCTTTTCCAACTGATGACATGTAGCCACATGGCTTGATTAAACTTAACATGTGTCTCGTATCAACAGTATAAATTTGGATCTTTCTTTCTTATCCATTCTGGCAGTCTCTGCTCTTTGATTGGGGTAATTATTTAGTTCCTTTATAATTAATGGAATTATAAGTATCACTGTATTTATGTCTGCCATTTTGCTATTTATTTTCTATTTTATTTAGTTTTTGTTTCTGTTTTCCTGCCTTCTTTTGTGTTAATAAATATTTGATTAAATTTATAGTTTAACATCTCAGAATTTTTTTGCTGTTGCTCAGGGCTCTGAGTCTCATACCCACAGTTGTGAATTCTCTCTAAAACTTTTTTTAAAGCTTATCTCTGCTACTGTCCATGAAGATGGCTATGAAGTTAGTGTCAGGCTGAATTATATTCAAGTCTCAAACAAGGTAAGTGAAACCTTCAGAAGTTACTCATTGGAGAATTGGCTGAACTAGTGAACTGTGGCTTACGATTTATTGAAATGTTTCTGTGTAATCCACAGAAAGGAAAAATTTCAAACATTATGAAACTTGGCTGTAGGCCAGCAATTTCATAGAATTAGATAAATAACTGAGCTAAGCCTCAGAGAAGCTTTCAGGCACATAATGATATATAAGAACAGGAATTATCACCCACCCCATTGGTCCTGCAGTTCTCAGGCTTATTTATACTCACTGATATCTGATGGCAGATCTGCAATACAAATTTGGGAAAAGACTGACAAAAATGTTTGCTTATATGTACTTTGACCTATTTGCCTATAAAAAAGAAATGAAACTTTGTGTCCCTTGATCTTCCTTCTTATATGGTAACTGGTGCATTACCACAGAGCCTGTAAGTGTGTAACAAACATTGATTGATATTGGCAGCTTTTGGGTGATTGGACAAGAAGTCAGAATATACAAAAGAATCAATGGATTGAGGAGATGGGTAAAGAAAGCAAAGCAAAGGAGGGAAACTAGCATTTATTAGGCCCTGGCCACAGGCCCAACAGGGTGCTAATGGTGTCTTTAAAATTAGGATAGATACATGGCCCTGCCTAACTCAAAGGGAGTTTGGGTGTATCCAGTTGGATAATGCACATGAAAGTGCTTTGAAACCAAGTCAAGCACTAAATGTCATGTTTTAGATTGTATGGCTAGAGCAGAGCTTGGGTCAGTGAGGTACTTCAGGAGAAGTGGGGTAAGGGATGCTGGACAAGGCAAGGGAAGGGACTAAATGAGCAGGTGTTCACAAGCAATGTCTAGCTTTAGCCTGATCCATGAAGAGCTCTGGAGTGTGAATGACATCATACAGTTGTTCCCAACTGAGGCAGGGAGGGGAGGGGCATAATCTCTAGGACAAAGCAGCACCCACCTAATGAGGACAGTTGACTGGAGAAGGAGATCATTGTGAGCTGTTAGCAGTCAACACAGTAGCTGGGATGGGTATGCTGACTGGTTAAGGGGAACTGGGCAGGCACCAATACCATCTACAACATGAGTAGCTACTTCAGGTTTACTATGAGGTGTGATCAAACAATATGGTGAATGTTTAAATTGAAAAAAAAAATCATTACAGTAAAAGACACATTGCCATTAATCCTCCTCAAAATGCTCTACCTCGCTTCGAACATACATATCCCACTGTTTTTGCCACTTTCTGAAGCAGTTCTGGAAGCCCTCTTTTGTGAGTTTCTTTTGTTGTGCTGTTGTGGCTGCCGTAATGTCCTGAATCATTTTTACTTTGGGGAAAAGCCAGAAGTCGCACTGTGCCAGATCCAGTGAATAAGGTGGATGAGGAAACACCATAATGTTTTTATTTGACAGAAATTGCTGTACCAGAAGTGGTGTGACACAGAGCGTTGTCATGATGGAGGATGATTTATGGCACACTTTAAAACACACATTCTCTCAACCGTAACTCACACCCAACTGAGTGCCAAACAAGTTGAAACTTGTCACACACTGTTACTAAGGTTGACACACTGCTTCCTGTACTGAAGATCTCAGCCTTTCCATTGGATGGCACTCAGCAGCAGTGTTCACCATATTTTGTGATCACACCGCAGATGTGTTTTTTCTTAGCCTGTATGTTTTAGTGTTCAGGAAGTAGCAAGTGGTTCCCTATGTCAGGAGCAGGCAGCCACATGAGGGTGGGGCAGGATGTCATGCTGTGGAATCAGTCCAGTTGGATACAGGATTCCAGCACTGGCCTGTGTATCATCTATCCTCATTTTATAAGCACCTCATTTTACTTTCACAACATCCCTTTAAGGTAGGTTATAATATTTCCACTTTACAGGTGAGTAAACTGAGGTTCAGAGAAGTTAAGCAATTTGCCTCTTTCAAAGTCCATAATCTAATAAGTGACAGAACCAGGATTGAGACTCTGAGCCTGAGCCTCCCCATCATGCCACCCTAACTCCAAGACACAGAAGGGTTTGATGCAGGGGAAGGACACAGTTATTTATAGATTGTATAAAGGTGACTAGGGCAGCCACATGGAACCTGGGATGGTAGGAACCTGTTGAGAGGCTGTTGTAATGATCCCAGTGTGAGCAAAGGGGGCTGTGGCTGTAGTGACCAAGAAGAGGGGTGAGACTGAGGAGCTGTTTAAGAGGCAAAATGAAAAAAAAATGGACAGAACATCACAGTGGGTGAAAGAGTTGTGGAAAGGATGTCCAGGTTTCAGGTTTGACTGTGCATACAGAGCTGTCATTAACAAAAAGGAGCAGATTGGCAGGGAGATCACTCTTTCTGTAGGGACACAGCAGCCTCATCATTCATGGTGCTTGAATTTTTTTTCATTGACCAGAACCTTTACTTCAACAAGGCAGTGAATTTCAGTGACCACTTTCTCAGCAGTGTCACTGAGGGTGGTACTGAGCTGTTCGGCAGCAGGTCCAGCTTGGGTAAGTTGTACCCTTCCACTGATTTTAAAGTCATTGCAAACAAAGAAACAAAAACTCATAGACATAGACAATAGTTTAGTGGTTACCAGACGGTAAGGGGGTGGGGAGTGGGAGGTGGTAGATGTTGGTAAACAGGGTCAAATGTATGGTGATGGAAGGAGAACTGACTCTGGGTGGTTCACACAATGTGATATATAGATGATGTATTACAGAATTGTACACTTGAAACCTGTGTAATTTTACTAACCATTGTCACCACCAATGGTTAAATAATTAAAATAAAATTTTTAAAAAATAAAAAATAAATGGTGAAGAACCAAAAAAAATTTTTTTAAATCGTTGACCAAGAAGAACACACTGACTTGGTAAAGATGGTCAAATTGCTTAAAATGTGCCAGCCCAACCAGACATCTTTCATGACTCAGCCAATTTATTCCTCTGGCTTCCCTAAAGGTGGAGTGAGACTTCTGAAATCTTTCACAGGCTTGGGGAGATTAATTGGAGTGGGGTGCTCTTTTGGGGCCTAAAACTGTAGTAACTTCTACTCCCATCCTTCCCACCCATCCTCTAGTCCTGGACTGAGAGAAGTGGCTCCAGGAGTCCTTCCCACCAGATTTAATCAAATAGAAATTTCTACAAAGTTGTTTTGTCCTTTAGACTTCTTAAGGGGTATGGCAGTCAACTCTAATTCTTTACACATGGGGAAAGGCAGGGGGACATCATTTTGGTCCTTGACTCTTTGTCATTCTAGTAAGTGACTGCAGCCAGAGCACCTCAGATACTACTGAAAAAGTCAAGAGGACAAAGAATTTCAAGACCAAAATATTTCAAGAAAAGAAGGAGCAGCTTACAGTATGTGTATCCCTTGGTCATTACAGCAGTCTTCTTTGGCCTATCTATTTATATGTTTTATTTTGAAATATTTTTAAATGGAAGAATACTTTTTCATTTTCTGTTCCTTTTTTATAAGTGTATTTTTATTTTTTGGAATCCTTTAAATATTTCAAGATTATTAATTAGAATTATTTCCCAGTTCTCAATAGTTTTCTGAATCACCTCTGTTTCCTCTGGGGTCAGTTTTGTGTGGCCATCTTTCCCTTTCTTGTTTTTAGTTTGTCTCAAATGTGATGATCCTTGGTTGTTAGGTCACATTGACAAATGAAGGACTAATTTGATTACCATAGGTACCTGGCATGGGTGCCCGGCATGGGTATTTAGGCCTGGGATCACTGTATGGGTAGATGGGCATGCCTGGGCAGACTTCCCTGGAGTGTTTGTGAGCAGGAGAAAGCCTTGGGTCCCTTTAGTTGCTAGTGTAAGAAGGCCTTTGCTCTGGTGGTGAGGGTGGTGCTGTGACGCTCTCTTGTCTTTCATTCCTGTATGGAGCTGTCTTCCAAACCCTTCCCTGTGTCTGTTATAGTGGTCTGGGCTCTGCCCTTCTTGGGCCCTAGTGCTCCCAGTAGAAGCCTTTGTTAGGCCAATCATGAACTCTCTGGAAATATTTATCGGGGTTTAAGCAGAGGGCAAAAGGTTCCTGTCATTCTTGCATGGAGGAGTGGGGAGGACACCAGCCATCTCAACTATTCACAGTAAAGCCCTTTAATAATACATTTGTGAACTCAGCCTGCCCCCTCGTTGATTAACTTTTGAGCTTCTGCAGGGCTCTCTGGAGACAACACACTCATCCCTCTGGTATCTTCCACTGGATTTTCTTTGCTTTGGTTTCCCTGTCAGTCAATCACATTCCATCTATTTTCAATCTCTGGGATTCCTCACAATTTCTGATCCACTCATGGTACCCTTTCAGAGTTTCCCACAGCTGTTAGAGTTTTGTTTTTTAAAGATACAGACTATGAATAATTTCAACAGGAGCTTTGCAGAAAGAGACAGTGGATACCCTTGCTGTGTCCACCTCTTTGCTTTTTAGTCAGTCCTCTGGCTACAGCAGGAAGAACAGATGTGCTTGGCAACAAGCCCAGAGCCTGGGGCCTCTGGGCCCTCAATGGAGATGGGCAGTGTCAGCTCTTCCCTCCAGCTTCAGTTAAGCCAGGCCCTTAGGGCTTCCTCAGGGGTGCACATGCAGGCCACCCTAGTTGCACTGTGATTTCTCTGGAGGCAGGGACTCTGCTCCTCATCTTGGTCAGAAAAACCAATAAATATGGGAAGAAGAACTGAAAATTGTTTTAACTTTTATTGTTTATCATTCCTTGCACTCTCCACCTTCTCCCAGTTTGAAATATTGTTAATAAGTATGAGAAGTATAGAGTTCCATAAACTTAATAACATTGTTACCATTTTGGAGACTCTACCCACTTATTCTGTATGTGACCTGAATCCCCATTGCTATGTACCTTTATTTTCTTATCTTCATTTAGGGGGTAACTAACAGAAACTGTATCATCTGTTTACTCATTCATTGATTATTTTAGAGCACAGGTATACCAGGCTCAGTTCTAGGTGTTGAAAATAAAACAAACAAAAGACAAAGACCTCCTGAAGTTGACATTCTAGTGTATTCTAGTACATTTTTCCATAAGGAATGGAGTTCAGTATAAACAAGTGCCCCCCAAGATGGGGGATTTACTGATTAGAGCACCTTGAACACAGGGTGAACCTCGCATCTTCTTTTGAAAGGCTCAGCGGCCTTGACCAATGTCCTCATCCTCATGGCTTCCCTGGGAGCCAGGGAAGGGTGGGGATTATTTCCACTTCATAAACAGAGAAATGGTGGTCCCGGGACAACCCCACAGTCACCCCTGGGATCCAGTGACAGAAACATTTAAAAGTAATGTCTCCTGCTTTCTAGACTGCTTCCTTTAGTCTTCCAGTAACCAGCATTTGAAATCCTTTGTATATAAAGAAAGATTATATAAAGATGAATTTCATTGCATTTTGAAAATATAAAAGATAAAATTTCCAACTTTCTGATGATAGATGAGAGCTTTTTTTTTTTTCCAAGCACGAGGTTGACTTTATTGGTTGGTTCACTCATGCCTCAGGTGAGCATGTTCGCTGAACTGATGTACTAAGACTGACTTTGAACACTTTATAAAGCATGCAAAATAAATTTTAGGATTCACGTGATTGTTTTTCCTAGAAATATTCATAATTAAACTAGCGTGGGTTTCTGGATTTTGGTGCGGTTTCTCATTGCATCCCTTAATAATATACAACAATGTGAGTGCTGTGTCCTTCCACAGGGCAGGGTTTCAGAGACCTGCAAGATTTACATCAGAGATGTTTATTTGTGCTGCTGGCTGTTAAAGACCACCCTCCCCTTTCCCTTTATCTGTCCCCCCCACACACACACACACAATCATTCTCATGCTCACCTGGCCCTGGACCTTAGAACTTAACTGTTGGAGAGGAAACATTTGCCTTGAGGGTTGAGCCTGGACAAGGGGGACTCAACAGTAAAAGTATTTTGTGGTGGTGGAGATGACCATATTCTGTAATCCTGCAGCCTGAAAACAGACTCCTGCTGAAGGAAGTTGGACCATCTGGGGGAGGAAGAGTCTCTGTGATTGAACAGCTGCTTGATGAAGTAAGTGCAACCAAAGAACAAGTTTCTAAGGATTTCAGCCTGTGTTCCAACTCTATCTCTTTCCGATGGAAGTTTTGTTCAATATTGCGATAATCACAGAGCCATTTAATTAAAAAATGCCTGAGAATGGATTAAATGGCTAGTCCAAAGCTTTACATGAATTGTTACCATGACCTCAAATAACATGTATGAAGGTGGACAGACTCCCTGCCCTTTGACCCCATGTTACCTTTATGTTTCCTAAAGAAGGTTGTCCGAGTGCATGCCTCTCCTGGTGTGGTAACAAGTTTTATTGCCTGAGTGACATGGCACCTTTGTCCATTATATGTTGGGTCTCCATGTTCCTGATTCTCTTCTCTTTGGATTTAAAGCAGTTGAGTTCCATCAAGGATGTTTGTTGCTGAATTGGATGGCGATTGGATGCTGCTGAGTGCAGGGTTTTGTAGTAGGTTTTTCCTTTTCCATATGCTGCAGGGAGCAGATCCTAACTGCCGTGATAATGAAGATCGACCCGTTATCACTGTGGCTGTGATCAATAAGCACCATGAAGTGATCCCAGTTCTCGTGCAGAGAGGAGCAGACATCGACCAGCAGTGGGGACCGTAAGTGAAACAATGAAAGAAGAGTTCTGGTGCCATGTCACAGCCAGCTGACAGCTCAGGGGTTCTGCTGCAGCAGAATCAGTCTATATGCGTGCCCGGTTCCATCTGATCCACTTAAGAACCACTTAAACCCACTGTGGCCTTAATAAGAGACTCAACTGCTTCTGTTTTCCAAATCTTGGTAAAACAAAATTTTTAAAATGGACTTTTGGACTGCCTAAATTTTGTAGCTTTTAGAAATGATGATACATTTTGTTAACTTATAAATTTATAATACCGTAGGTCTGACAGATCCTTAGCACTTGGGGTATTAAGCAATGTTTTCATCATGATCTGACTATTTAGGCCCATGAGAAAAGAGAGCCCCGTGGATATATACCCATGAAGTTAATGCAGGAAAAAAAACAATATATGCGGTCAGACAATTAAGTTCGCGAACTTGCCACCATGCGCTTACATTGCAGCACTGTACGAACAGCTTGATAAGGTTTCATAACCTTGTTATGTCAGTGTCTCACAGCTGTGTTCTTGTTGACATGTGGTGGTATCTTGCTGAGTGGCATTCATTATTGTTGCATGTTTTTTTCGTGTCATCATGAGTGTCTGAGCTTGAATTAGAACAATGAACGAACATTACATTTCTTGTTAAACTTGGCAAAAGTGGAAGTGCAATCAGAGACATGTTAGTCCAAGTTTATGGGGATAATGCCATGAGAAAATTGCAATGTACAAATGAATTAAACATTTCTCTAAGGGGAGAGAACACATCTGTGATGAAGAGAGGTCAGGGTGGCCAGTAATGAGCAGAACTGACAAAAACATTGCAAAAATTTGTTGAATTGTGCATCAAAATCATCAGCTGTCTGTGAGTAAATAAACCAAGTAAACATCGATAGAGAAACAGTTAGGAAAATCTTAACTGAAAATCTTGGCATGAGAAAGGTGTGTGCAAAAATGGTCCCGAAGGATCTTTTGCATCACGACAATGTACCAGCTCACACGGCACTGTCTGTGAGGGAGTTTTTAACCAGTAAACAAATAACTGTATTGGAACACCCTCCCTACTTACCCAATCTGGCCCCCAATGACTTCTTTCTTTACCCAAAGATAAAGGAAATATTGAAAGGAAGACATTTTGATGACATTCAGGGCATCAAGGGTAATATGACGACAGCTCTGATGGCCATTCCAGAAAAAGAGTTCCAAAATTGCTTTGAAGGGTGGACTAGGTACTGGCATTGTTGCATAGCTCCCCAAGCGGAGTACTTCGAAGGTGACCATAGTGATATTCAGCAATGAGGTATGGAGCACTTTTTCTAGGATGAGTTTGCAAACTTACGTAATTGTCTGACCTCGTACAGTTGTGTCTGGATGTTACTGGGGAGGAGACTGGTCCATCAGAGTTCACCACATAATCTCCTGGTACTTTGGTTTCCCCAGCTGTGAAGCAGGATGGAGAGATACAAAGTCATGTGGGATGGTTTTGTTACATACTGCATTAGTCTTGGTACTGTCCTGCCTCTTGACCTCTCCCAGCCTTGTGATTCTGTTGTTCTCTTGCAAATAGTAGGAAACCTGGGGTGGAAAGTTCCTTAAGTATGGGTCCTTCATGGGTCCTATGGTTAACTGCTTATATCCTGCTGACCAAGTTTTGAGCTAGAAGTCTGTAGGGGTATCGCAGGTGTCTAACACTACTTACTGCCTCCTGAATTATTCCTAAGATGGGGTTGAGGCCCTGGTCAGTGAGTCAGACTGCTGAGCATGTCATGCCAGCACAAGGGACAAAAGTTAAATAGCTTTGCTTCTGTTTTTGTGTTTCAAAATTTCCTCTAATGTTTTTATTCAAATCTATTCCTCTTAATTTTGAATGTGGATTTTTATGTTTTTGCCCAATAAGACAGCTATATCAACAGACACAACCCCCATTTCAGTTTTATTTTATTGCAGGATGTTTGGCATGTTGGTATAAATATTTGATGGCTGGAATTTATCTTCTCAAGTTTTCTCAGGGTTACAGTCATCATACTTTGTCAACTTCTTCATATATCCCACACTTACATTATCATTATCAATAAAAATAATGCTACCTTGTTTTGTGTTAAGTTATACTTTATATTTGCATAATTCAAACAAGCTTTAGTTATAGCATGTGATTGATACAAAAATCTCTTGAGCACATTTTAAATTGATGCCTAAGTATGATGAGTCCTGGCTTTATGAAAAGCACAGCTAAGAGTATGAAACTACTCTGGACGTGGAACAGATGAACTGTTTTTCTTCAGTGTTCCTCAGTTTTCATTTTTGCTTCATCACCATTCTATAAATTGACGTTTATCCACATATGCTGTCATGGCATTTCTACTAAGCCTAACACTGTGATTATACCAGCTGTCTGAATGGTGTATAATAGCCCCCTTGTCATTCCCGCTTCATTATCATGGTTACTATTAGCAGAATTTAGCTCACATGGAGGCAGGGGAGGAAAGCTAGATGGGAGGCCCTCCCCCCAAACAGAGCATAGAGATCTCTTTTTCCTTTTCAGTGTATGCCAATAGAGGAAAGCAGATTTTTCCGCTGAGGACCAAATTCTGCTAAGTCTTGTTTGTGTTTGTTAATTTGAAGTATTTAGGCCTTGGTCAATCTGCCCTCTGCCCCACAGCTGGACCTCTGTAGATCCAAGAACACAACCACAAGATACCATTCATCCTACTGCTCTTCAGGCATAAGCCATCCAGAGGTCTGGCTTTCCTGTAAAAGAGGCTCAGTAAATTGTCCCTCAGCACAACAGGATTAAAATGCTCTTTCCCACCCCAGGCATGTTTGGTAGTGGACAGAAGCAGCCTAGGTGTTCTCCACATGAGATAACTTCCATTAAGTAGTTTGGAAGGTAGCAAAAAGGTCCTCCCTAGTGTTTTGGTTTCCCATATTTATATCACTTCTATCAGAATAAACTCATGTTCAACAGAAAGGGAACAGCTAAGTCCGCTACCTCTTACCAGTGGACTTCAGACACACAGATTCAAGGTCTCACTGTGAGAGGGACATTTTGCTTTTGGACAATAGTTGTTTGCTTTTGGATAATAGCTGCCCTTCTTAACTGAAATTGTAAACATTTAATCTCTTAGCTCTGTTCTAGCAGTCAAGAGAGGAAAATGCAGCCATCAGTCCACTTCTTAGAGATTCAGCTATGGAGATTTATTCTATTAGGTAACCCAAGATTTACAAAGAGAGAATGTACTTTAATCCACCATGATGCTTAGATTTGAATAAATGGTTTGAATTGTTAGTGCATTAATAGAAAAATTTCTTTAAAATACAAATTGCAGTAATACCACAGTATACCTGACTAACAAAACATGTTCTAGAAGGTCTGATAACACCAGCTGCTCAGAGGAACAAACTCAGAGGGAATCACCTCTAGTCTGAAGCATGGGGATCTGAAGGTGTATTCCATTTAGCACCCCTGCCATATGTGAGCTAAGTTGTTTGATGAGCAATATACAAAGTTAGAGTTGTCAGAGTCTCCATTCATCATTGTCCAAAACTAAACTGTAAATAGAATGTACACTCTGCTCTCAGTTTAGGGAGAATTGTGAAGGAAGAAGATCATAAGTCTACTTAAGAGATGTGGTGACTCTGTGAATATATCTAAGTTCAAATGATAAAGGCCTTATAAAGACCCAAATAACTTGAGGGATGAAGTGACAAACAGTGAAGCCATATGCCACAAGGGAGGAAGAAAGATGGTGTCATTGGTATAACTGAGATATCCTTTATCAGTGTTCGCATAGCATGCTGTATCCTGAATTCACAACTGAGTCCCCTGAGCACCCTGAGAAGCTCATATGACATGGTGGCCCTGGCCCTGGCACAAATGGGGGCACCAGGCTGGCCCTCAAATATGTGCTGAATAGATGAGCAAACAGGGTGATTGAGAGCCAGGCAGAGGTAATCTGAAAGACCTTAAGAGAAATGTAAACTTTGAGGATGACCACTGGAAATTCTGTAAACAGAGAGAAGGAAAATAGACTGTTCTTTGATGACAGAGGCAGAGAGAGCAAAATGTAGAGAAAATGAATCTCTTTTTGTTAGTTCTTTTCATCTGTAAAATGGGGATAATAAGACTTATGTCATGGAATTGGTTGGAAGAGAAAATGAGATCATTTATTTATAGTTCCTATGAAGAGCCTAGTAATTGGACATTAATAAGGTAGCAATCATGATGCTATTAGGTTATGAAAGCGAAGGCCAGGCTTCGACTGCATGGTGATTGACATAGGGTATGGAGATGAGCATGAGCCGGGTCTGGGAGAATAGCCATGTGTGGGGCCTTAAGTAACAGAAGCCCAGGGTGAAAGGTGTTAGAACTGGTTAACAGAATTTAAGTTAATTTAAGTTCTATATTTTATTACTGTTAATAGATGTCACCAAGTCTTCCTAAGCCTGAGTTTTTATATTAAAGAAAGGGTGTGATATATTCTCTTATGTATCAAACGCTAAGAAGATGAACTTGATGAGTGCTTCTCATAATTTAATGTGCATATGAATAACCTAAAGATCTTGTTAAAGTGCACATTCAGTAGATCTGGAGGGAGGAGGCTGAGATTCTGCGTTTCTAACATGCTCTCAGGGTGTGCCAATGGCCAAGGTACCACAGTGTGAGTAGCAAGGATGTAGAGACTGTTCTTAATATACATTGAGCTTTGAAGAGACAATCCAACATGTCCCTTAGTAAGGAGATGGCCTCACAGTGCAGTTGGACACGGGGATTTTCCTCCATACCTGATAGGTCAGTTATGCTGATCTGATAAAACTAATAATAATATCATCACCAACAGCAACAATATGAAGGCTGGTCCCCAAATCTTAGTTGCTTGAAGGAGCAATCTATATAGAACCAATGTGCTAAACTTTGGAAATTCGAGGAAATCCTGTCACAAGTTACATTGCTTTGACATTTTCATCTACTGCCTCTGGGGGACTATGAGGAGAAACTAGCT